ACCACAAAAATGAATAAACTTGTGGAGCACTACAGAACTTGATTTTTAATTCCCTTTGGTTCTAAAGGCAAAGACGAAAATTTTATTGTTTTTCATGGCTGGTGCTATGCTTTATTTAATGGACAAATGAGCAATGGCAAGTGAGAACATAAATTGTTCCTTTTGAACATGCAAGAAATTCTTGTAAGTCTGTCTTTATATTTGATGCAGTACTTTCTCAGACACTGTAATTAGAGGTTTTCTGAGGAAATTCTGCTTTTAGAACTATCAAATTAAAAGTCTAAGCTGGCAAACCTCGAGTTCTCACATACATTTTGTATTTTGGGGTTTGTTACCAAGGTTTTGTGAATTCTCTGTGCTTTGTAAGGATGAAGGTTACTTTGAAGTTGGTCAGCTCTCTGTTTATAAAAGATTGTCAGGTAGAAATGAGTAAGAATTGGGCTGCTAGGTCACACATGTCACCTTCGTGGAGCTGGGGGACTGAATAATAATACATCAGCATTCAAAACTTGTTAGAAAATAAAAAGATGTTTGAAAGGATAATAATTCTATAACAATCTTGTTTGTGTGAATTTTTAACTGTATATTATATAATGTGAAAAACATGTAGTGCAGATGTAAAATATTAAAAATATGAAGTGTAATTTATTTTTCTTTTAATAATAGAATACTTAATGCAAGTCTTTATTTTTTCAGAACTGTTAAAATATTTTGCATTCTTCTGGTGCTGGTATTAATTTAAAATAAGCTACAGTGTTTGAACCATTTACTTGGTTTCTGGAGACAACATGCGCCTGCAAATAATGAAGAATCACACTGAACTTTATCATCAAAGAGAGCATTATGAAATTTAGAGACATTTCTTCTAAACCTTAGTAAATACGAAAACACTAGCTTAACTTTAACGTGTCTCCTATGAAAATTATCCCCATAAATGTCATTCTTTAACTCCCAGAGCCAAAATTTGGAAAAAAGGGCTATAATTTTCTCTTTCCCACTACGCTAATTTATTATTATTATTATTTATATTATTATGCTAAATATTTTAACTTAATAAAAAATTGTGCTTTATAAGCCTTAGAGTCTAGAGTATTGAGTCAAGGATCTCAATTCTCTAATACTACAGGAACTTAAGGGCATTCTGATGGCCTAGGGATAAGAAGGCACACTTCCGTTCCAAAGGAGCATGTTTCAAATCCACCAGCTATCTGCTCTTCAGGAGAAGTATCGGCAATCTCCTCCTGTGTGATTTATAACCTCTGAAAACCCATTGGAGGGTCAATTATGCACCAGTTCTGACTCAAAGATAAGCAACAACAATGGGAACTGAGGTATTAGTTTCTCTCTACAAAAGATAATATTCAGTAAGCAATATATTCACTCAAAATAAGCCACAATTGGCTAATGCAATAATTTTTCCTTTCAAGAGTTTTGGAAATTTTACCAAATTTCTCTAAATACTAAAGTCTGAATTATACCTTCAAATGTAATCGACTACCACAAATTTAAAGAACAAATTTGACCTTTACAGTTGAATATTGCCTCATGTATAGAATATTAATTTTGTAAATATCATAGTAATTTCTACTTAAAGAAAATGACATATATTTTATTATAATAATTTGTATTTTCAAGAATGAATATTTAAAGCCATTGTTATACTACAATAATCAAATTTTAATTATTTTCTTAAGAAGACCAAGTAGTTCAATGACTAAACCAGTTGACTACTAATTGAAAAGTTATCACTCTTGAGAAAATATGTGGCAATCAACTTTCCTAAATATTTACATCCTTGTAAATATTACAGATCAAGAAGAATAATGGATGCTTTTGAGTTTAGTGTTGTAGAAGAATATTGAATATTCCATGGACTGCCAAAAGAACAAACAGGTAAGTCTTAGAAAAAGTGCAGCCTTTTTTGCTACTTCCAAACAAGGTTGGCGAAGCTTCTTTTCACATACTTGAAACATGTTGGTAGGAGAGGCTCTTCCTTAGAAAGGGATATTGTGCTTGGAAAGGTGAAGGGTCAGCAAAGAGGGGAAGAACCTCAACCAGATGGATTGGTACAGTGACTGCAACAATGGGCTCAAGTGTGTCAGCGATGATAAGGATGGCACAGGATAGGAGAGGGTTTGGAGTTGTTCATAGGGCTCTATGGTCATACTCTACTTGACAGTACCTAACAACAACAATAACAGCAAATGCTGGATGGGGCAGTCCCACTCTGTTCTGTATGGTTTATACAAACTAGTATCAACTCTTTGCCTATGGGTTTGACTTTTTTCATTGATGAATGCATACAAATTTCATAGACTTTATTGAGCTAACAACCTCGTAGTGCCTTCTTACTAATTCAACACATAATATTGCATTTATCTCATTAAAATTATTACTCTCATTAAAACAGTTGTGGGTGGATGGAGCTCTGGTGGCCTAGTGGCAAGAAGCTGCACTGCAATCCCAAAGGTGTGTGGTTCAAATCTACCAGAAGTTCTGCTAGAGAAGGAGGGGCAATTTCTTCCTCCTCCTGTACCAGTCAGATCCAGTTTGATGGTACACACACACACACACACACACACACACACACACACACAATTTTTAAAAAAGTAAGTGTGTACTTGTGTGTGAGCATATGCATGCTTGGAAGTGTATTGTTAGAAGAAATTTTGATTATACACATGTGTTTGAGTGTATTGACTTTTAGAATTTTATAATAATGGGTATTTGTGGGGATTTTTTTCTCTGCGAGAGAAAGAATTTGAAAACTAAATATTCTGGCAGTAGTAGATTAGTTTGCTATTGCTTTTATCTTATTCTTAAACAAAAAGAAAAAAAATGCTTTTTATTATTTATCAATACAAACAAGTAACATGAGTGAAGGAATTGCTTTAGAAGAATTGCTTTCAAAATATATAATGAAGTATTTTAAAGGAGAATCTTTTCCCTGTATCCGCATTCCATAAAGACTCTACTTTCTGAGCAAAATTGACATTACTCTTAGTTTAAGAAAGGACTATTAATAAGCATTGAGGCATAGAAAATAAAAATCGCATTTATACGTGTGACCTGTTTTGCCAATGGCTTTTAGTAATGTGCCTACATAAAACTTTTTTTAGTGAAATGTGTGCTACCTTAAAAGTAATATCTTAATATGATTGAGTATTATGGTGAGCACAGGAATCCAGAATTAAGGTTGCATAGAGAAGTGTACTCCGGGTGGGGGGTGGGGGGAAGGGACATGGGAATTGTATACTAATGAAGGAATTTTTTTTTTCCTTTTTTTTCTCTTCAGAGGGGGAAGCGAGCTGGTGGGGAGGGGTGGGAAGGGAGAAAATTGCTGCAGTGAATGAATGGAAATCCAAAACCTCTGTAGAAAAATAAATAAATAAAAACGAAAAAAAAAGTAATATCTTACATTTCCTCCCTTCATTCAATCTGAGCTCTTAAGACCTAGAGGGCAAGGGTCTGTGAGACCAATCCAAAGGCATACAGTTCAAATCTACAAGATGCACCACAGGAGAAGGTTGGGCAATTTCCTTCTGTGTGATTTACTGACTCTGAAAACCCACTGAAGTGTCAGCTATTGGTTGGTGCCAACTCAGTGTTATTCAACAACATCCGAATTACTGTTCAGATTTGTCTAACAGCTGACAGACTTCTTCTTCACATCTTGCCAATTTTCCTATATGTATATTAGTATTTTTCCATCAAATTTTCATTTGTCACAATTATAACTCCTTTCTAAAGATTTTGGATTTAGAAACATTTTCTAAAATCTTCTCCTAGTCCTTACTCAATTTTTCACCAGTCAGGAAAGATTCAATCAACTCTAGAGGTGATAAAGTCGATGTTCACCTTGTGCTTTCCCCTTGAATTATAGATGAAGAAAACAACCTCCTTTGGAATGGAGGGTGCTCCTATGACCTTCATCACCATGAATCAGAAGACAAATCGTCATTAGAAAGCACTTTTAGAGTTTTATAATGTACATTTTCCCAATACTTATTAAAAAGAAAAGAATCATAGGAATTTTGGGGGGGAGGGGTCCCTTTAAGGTCTTAATTTTCTCTCTTTGTTCACTTTGTTATTTTAAAATATACAATTATTAAACTACAAATTAATGCTTTTCTTTGTTATAGGCTCTTCTGAAGTTATTTTCTCTGAGAAAACAATAAAAGAGTGACAATGGACACATTTATTTAGTAATTTGACTACATTTTCCATTTCAGGTAAAATAGTTGAAGATAAAGTTTAAATCTTTAAAATGGTTTGTTATATAAAATGGATTATCTTAGCAAAATTTTCACATAATTCCTACTTTTTTACGTTGAACTCCCATCACTCTAGTGGGAAAATAAATGATCTGGCATTTTTCCCTTTGATGGTTACGTTGTTGTGTACCATCGACTCAGAACCAACCCACAGTTAACTCTCCAGTGGGTTTTCAGAGACAGTAAATTGCACTAGAGGAGACTGTCCATACTTCTCCCGTGAAGCAGCTGGTGGATTTGAACTATAAGCCTTTGGAATTACAGCACAGTTTCTTACCATTATGCCACCATAACTCACTAGGTCAATAATTTTCATTTTATATAAATTCATTTCTATTCACTCATAATGCTATATTTTGAAGTTTCTTTACTATTTTGAAAAAAAAAACACACCACATCATTTTAATGTTAGACATGCACACTGGAATTTTTAGGGAAAAGTTGGACATAAAATATATCTTCACTTGGTTGCACATATTAACTTAAAAGTTTTCTATGTGTAAATTACAATATCTTTTTTTAGGAGTGGATAAGGAACTGTTTTAATTGCGTTTTTATTACATTTACAACATCACCTTTCTCAGTTGAAACGTAGCTAAGAACTTCCCTTCTGTTTCCAGAAAGTTTGTAGGACATGGCCCGTGAAAAGGAGAGTTGGGGTTGAGGTGGGGGTCCTGTGGTGGCACCATGATGCCCTCACACTACTTTTCACAGCAAGTAATGGATTTAGGAATATTCATCCACAGAGGTATAGGGTGAGCTTATGAAACTTGAAGTCGTGGAGGCAGATTTGGAATTCCTGCCGGAACAGCTGTTGAAGGTCGGGTCTCTTGGCATCACTTTCTTCTTCCTATTGGATTTAGAGCTGTCTGCATCACTAGTGTCAACCACCACTGTCATGGACTCCATCCTGGTCACAGTGTACAGGCTGCTTTGCCTGGTTGGGTGAAACCTGGTGGTCTTGAGCTCCAGCTCATCATAGCTAGACATTTCGATAAAAGGACACCAGCGAAATGCTCTCTTGAAGCCAGCTCGAAACCTGACAAGACACAAGAAGATAAAGGCATGGTGGAAGTACAAATCTATTGAACTGACAACCCCCCCCCCCCCGGCCAAAACCTCCCACAGGGTTGAATCTAATCCAACTCTTATAATTTGTGTTCCAATATTGTTATGAGTTCTTTCTTAGTTGAAGTGAACCTTCATTTTCATCACTGAGAAGCAAGGCTGTACACATCAATATGCTAAAGGAACAGTTACTTTTCTGTAATAATGTTATACATTTGCATAAATATAATTGAATTAGGCTTGCTGGTTAAGAAACTTAAAATGACATATTTCAAGATGCTATTGTTGTTGATTGCCATTGAGTTGAGCATGACTCATAACGACCCTATGAACAAAAGGCTTGAAGCCTTTCTATGACTATCAACATTTATGAAAGTTCATAGAGTTTCCAGAGGCATGTTGTTTAGGAAGTGAATGCCACTGCTGCTTCCAAACCTGTTGTAATCTGTAATCTTCACCAAACACTGTCCACCGCAGGTAACTGTTATGGCATTTGACACCCCAATGGCACAAGGTTCAGCATCACAGCAACCCCAGATTAGCTCAGTACAGGATACTGACAGCAGAGTGCTATGCCACTTAGAAGACTGTTTCTCCAAAATATAACAACAACTATCTTTAAATACAAAGGTTCACCCCTCAGGTCTTGTTGACACTAAACAAGAGGCTTAAACTAAAAACCAAAACAAAACAAACAACCAATATAGTATGTTATTATGTGCCAGTTAGTTGCCTGTGATGTATAGCGAGCCTATGTACAGCAGCTCTGAACCCTTCCCTGTCCTAAGCCAGTTTCACTAATTCTGACACACCAAACTCCATTGCCCCAGGTACTGTATCAATCCATCTCATCTGGGGTCTTCCTCTCCTGTGCTGTCCCTCCATTCTCCCAAGCACAATGTCCTTCTCCAAGGCTTTCTCTCCTGGCCATGTGCCCAGAGTATGTGAGATGGAGCTTTAAAATCCTAGCCTCCAAGGAGACACTTGGTTTCATCCTCTCCAAGACAGACCGATTTGCTTTCTTGGAAGTCTATGGTATATTCAAGACTCTTCTCCAGCACCACAACTCAAAGGCATCTATTCTTCTGTCATCCTTAGTCACTGTCTAGCTCTCTGAAGTCTAATAGGAATTGAGAAGACCAACACCTAGATTAGTTGTACTTTTGTCTCTTGACCAACATTGTTGTTCTTCAGTACTCTGGAAAGGTCCCTGACATCATATTTTCCCAGTGCAATTGTCTTTTAATTTTCTGCCTGCTGATGTTAAGAGTGTTGATTGTGGATCTGAGCAGGCTGCAATTGCTAACAACCTCAATATCTTCTTCAATCTTCTTTCCCAGTGGTGAAAATCTTTGTCTTCCTAATGTTGCTCTTCAATCCATATTGAAGACTACTGTACTTGATCTTCTGCAGCAAGTGCTTCAGGTCTTCTTCAATTTTAGCAAGCAAGGTTGTGTTATCTGCATATCATAGACCATTGATGAATCTTCCTCCAATCTTGATGTCACATTCTTCCTCATAAAGTTCTGCTCTCTATATAGATTGAAAATTAGGGGGACAGGATGTATCCCTCACGTACTTCTTTTCTGATTTTGAACCATGCAGTGTTTCCTTGCTCTATTCTGAGGACTGCTTCTTGGTCTAAGTATAAGCAAGTATAGGTAAGTATGGGTCAGTATAAGTAAGTGTTCTGGGATTTCCATTTTCCTCAAGGTTAGCCACAATTTGTTGTGATCCACCCAGTCAAATGCCTTTTGCATAGTCAATGAAACACAGACAGACATTTTTCTCATACTCTCTGCTTTCTGCCAAGATCCATCTACATTGGCAATAATCTCCCTAGTGCCATGACCTCTTCTAAACCCAGATTGTATTTCTGGTAGTTCTCAGTCAATGTACAGTTCCAGTAATTTCTGGATAATCTTCAGGAGGACTTTGCTAGTGTGTAATATTAGTGATATTGTTTGATAATTCCTATACTCTGGAGCTCTGGTGCCCTAGTGGCAAGAAGCCCTGCTGCAATCTCAAAGCCGTGTAGTTCGATGTCACCAGCTGCTCAAAGGGAGAAGGCAATCTACTCCTGTGTGATTAACTGCCTCTGAAAACACACTGGAGAGTCAGCTCTGGGTCAGATCTGACTCTATGGTATACAACAACAATTTCCACACTCTGTCGGGTTACTTTCTTTCTTTCTTTTTTTTTTTTTTGAATGTGAATAAATACGGATCTCATTGAGTCAGATGACCAAGTAGTTGTCCTCCAGATTTCTTGGCAGAATTTGGTGAGCACATGCAATGCATTATCTGTTTGCTGAAATACATCAATTGGTATTCCATCAATTCCTGGGGTTTTATTATTTTTATTTTTTTTTTGCAAAGTCCTTCTGAGCAGCCTGAACATCCTCTTTCATCATCATTACAAATTGATCATATGTTTTTCTTGAAATTCTTCTGTGCCAGCCAATTCTTTTTAGCACAATGACTCCTTCTATTTTCTTTTCATGCTTCCTCAATCATTCAATATTCTGGCCATAGCATCCTTAAGCACTGCAACTCATAGCTTAAATTTATTCTTTAGTTCTTTCAGTTTAAGAAATACTGAGTGAGTTTGGCCCTTTTAATTTTCTGACTCCAGCTTCTTACACATTTCATTATAATATTTTGCCTTGTTTTCTGAGCAGCCTTTTGAAATCTTCTAGTCAGCTCCTTACCTTCTTGATTTCTTCCCCTTGTTTTGACTTCTTGGTGCTCTAGTGCAAAATTCAGGGTCACTTCTTTTTTTTTTTTTTTCAGGGTCACTTCTGACATCCATTTGGTCTATTCTTCTTCTTTCTTCTTTGTAATGATTTTTTGCGTTCTTCATGAATGAAATTCTTGATATCTTCCCACAGTTTATCTGGTCTTCATTCATCATTAGCGTTCAAGCCCTTAAACCTATTTCTGTGTTGGTTTTTAAATTCATGGAGGATAGACTCAAGGTCAAACTTTGATTCCTATGGATATTGTTTAACCTTCTTTAGTTTTAATCTGAACTTTCATATGAGCAGTTGATGTTCTGCTCCACAATCCACACCTGGACTAGTTTTCACTGTTGTTGTTGTTGTTATGTGCCGTCTAGTCGTTTCCGACTCATAGCGACCCTATGCAAAACAGCCCTAAACCCTGCTCTATCCTGTGCCAACCGAACCGCCTCTGACACACCCATCCCGATTACCCCAGTGACCGAATCAATCCATCTCATAGAGGGTCTTCCCCTCCTGCGCTGTCCCTCCACCCTCCCAAGCATGATATCCCTCTCCAAGGACCCGTCCCTCCTGGCAACATGTCCAAAGTATGTCAGACGAAGCCCCAGAATCCTTGCCTCCAAGGAGTAGCTTGGTTTAATCCTCTCCAAGATGAATCTGTTTGTTTTCCTGGCAGTCCATGGTACATTCAGTACTCTTCTCCAGCACCACAGCTCAAAAACATCCACTCTCCTTCTGTCCTCCCTAGTCATTGTCCAACTCTCTGATGCATAACAAGCGATTGCAAAGACCATGGCCTGTAGCAGGCGCACCTTAGTCTCCAGAGAGACACTGTTGCTCCTGAGTACCTTAGAGAGGTCCCTAACAGCAGACTTTCCCATCGCGATACGCTTTTTGATTTCCTGACTGCTGGTGCCAAGAGTATTGACTGTGGAGCTGAGCAAACTGAAGCTGTGAACACTCTCAATCTCTTCGTCATCCATCCTGACGCTATGTAAGTTTTCACTGATGATACTAAATTTCTTCAAAGGTTCCTTCCACAGATGTAACTGATCTGATTCCTGTTCATCCTGTCAGGTAAAATCTATGTGTATAGCCTGTGAGTATGTTTCTTATAAAAGGTATTTGCTATGAATAAATCACTGATTGTACAGAATTTTATATAGCATTCTATCCCCAGCCTCATTTCTGTCACCAAGTCCATATTTTTAATACTGATCCTTCTTACAAACTTTTGCATTCCAGTCATCCATTATAGCTTTATTGAAATAATTAACACATTTACAAATGAAAGTCTTATTTAATGTTAGAATTAATTGCTAATCGTGATTGTTTCTATGGAATCATATATGAAAGCATGAAGTTCTTGGCATCATAAGTCATAAAATGAGGTTGATTAAAAACAGAACTGCTTGTGGGATGGTTCAAATTAAGATATGGCTTATGAAATTAATAAGAAAAAGTAAGGCTTGATTAAAAATTTAACATGTAGGTGAACCCAACTGATAAGAAAGCTTAAGAATCACTTCAAACAATTTCTTAGATGAAGTTAACTTAAACTTAGGCAGAAGGCTTAGCTGCTTTCATTAAGAAATGACCAACCCTGTGAAGTTTACTCCTTTCGTTTCATGACATGACTACACAGAAATCTGCTATTATCTGGAAAGGACCTTTTTACCTTTTTTGTTTGTCTCTGATTTTACTTTTCATAATCTTATTTTTTTAACTTAAATCAAGCTTTCCCTTGACACCTCTAATTTCTTCCAAATTCTCTGTGGAGGCTGCATTTGTTCTTACTCACTTCTCCCACTTCCTTGCACAAGAAGGAGGGCTGGTATTCTCCTCATTCATGCTATTTGTTCCTACTTCCTTGATGGAAGTAGCATTTGTTTGGGAAACTATTTACAATGTGTTGTTGTTGATTGCTGTTGAGTCTAGCACAACTCATAGTGACCCTATGAATAGAAGACCTGAAGCCTTCATAGAAAGGCTTTATAGAAATATTGTTGCTTCTCAAAGTTCATATAATTTTCAGAGGCTGCTTACATCCATTCACACTATCTTTTTGAACTATTTTATGATTATCTAGAACATACCTTTATTTTTGAGGACTTAAGAAATTTTCCACCTTATTGTCTTCAATCATGAGCACATTTTATTTTCCTTTTCTTTTTATGAGCATGTTTCTGAAGAGTTTACATAGTGTTTTTAATCTGTATACAAATTGTTCCACTAAACCTTTAAGAATACATTTTTGAGAATTAAATTATTAAGCTAGGATATTCCCTAAGTAGTGAGAGTTTGAAATAAAATGTGTTCTGTACTATTTTTAGGAAGCTGTTTTGCTTCTTTTGTATTTCCAATTTACACCAAGATATTGAAAAAGAAACATATGTTTCTACACAAATGCAAACAAACACATATTTATTTATATTTGGTAATTTTTCATCTTACCTTTTATTTAAACAGCAGTAGATGATGGGGTTGTACATGGTTGAACTCATTGCCAGCCAAAAACTAGCCAGGTAAACCTGCTGGATATATTTCCATCTGTTCAGTTGTTGATAGATTGCAGTGAGGATGAAGTAAATATGATAGGGCAGCCAGCAGATGGCAAATGTCACCACAACAATGATCATCATTTTTACAACCTAGAAAGACATATGGAAGTAGTTCTTAGAAAATGTAAAAGTCATTAAATTAGAAAGTCCAATACCCAAAACAAATAAAATAAATTTCTACTGACTGAGTTGATTCAAACTTACATAACCCTTTGTACACACAGCACAGAACTGCTGCCCCAAAAGCTAAAAGGCTTCCTTCTTTCTCCTGGGGTGTGGTTAGTGGGCTAGGACTACTTATATGTTGGTCAGCAGTCAAAGGAAGCATTTAAACTTCCCATAAATAGTATTTTTCTGCCAGTACAGTTAGTACATCAAAGGTCTAGTTAATGCATCATTCTTTTTAAGCTGATATAAGGACAGTTGCTTATGGTGAAATTTCAAGTTGTATCACAGTTTAGTTTTTATCAAATCTTGATAATAAGTGGCAGTAGTTCAATAATAAGATATATGTTATGTGACCTGAAGAAAATCGCTGTTTAAAATAAACCAACAATAAACCACCAAGAACAAACAAGGAACTTCAAGAAAAGAGTAAGAGCTAAGATATGCCTGGTTCATCCTGCACTATTACTTTAGGGATAGAGTCGGGAAGTGGGACTGTATCTAGGGAAATCTACTTTTGAGGTACTATTGACTGACTATTAAACTGGGCTGGTTCTATAGTATTTATTATAGTCTGGCTATAACTTAAGGCTATTCAAGATTCTTTGATACCACATTCACAACTTTTTTAATATTAATTGATTTTCTTATGTACTTTGACAATTGGGAAAGTCTTCTCTAGGTAGTATTGATGTACAATTACATTAGTACAAAGAAAAATAACTAACTCCAACTTTTTAAAGACATTGTTTTAGACATCAGTTCTTGAATTTGCTGAGACTAGGCAATTTCTTTTGAATCATAGTATCTGGGAACTTTGTCATCAAGTTGATTCTGACTCATAAGACCCTCTAGTGGGTTTCTAAAGCTATAAATAATTTTGGTTTGATGTGGTACATCTTTTTCCCTTGGTGGAGCTGGTGGATTTGAACTGCTGTACAGAAGTAACTTGGGGTTGCTGTGATGCTAAATACTGTGACACTGATGTACCAAATGAGATAATGGTTACCCTGGTGAACAGTGTTTGGTGGAGTTCCCATATTAAAACAAGTTTGAAAGTAGGAGTGGCATCCTGCTTTCTGAAGTGGTGTTCCAAAATAGCTTCCCTCCAGAAACTCTTTGAACTTAGAAAAATGATGAAAATTATGCAAGTGTTCAGGTCTTTCATTCATAGGGCCACTGTGAGTCCTCTACAACTCAATGGCACTTAACAACAACAAGAGCAACAATCTCAGATTAGCATAAGAGATGAGTATGTGGGTTACCCATTAACACTAATGAGAGATTTGGAGACTCCACTGATCGGATCTTGCCACTTCTCAGGGCCTTTATCTGCTCAGGTGGGAGCAACTCCCTCCTGACCAGACAAAGGAGAGGAGAAAGGTGCCATTAGCACCAAATGAGATGTAGAGACTTGACTATTTTGGCCTTGCTACTTCTCTTGGCTTCTGTTTGCTCAGGTAGGAAGAACTCCCTCCAGATCAGTTGTAGGAAAGGAGACAGATACAAAGGTCAGCCATTAGTACCCTCTGAGACCTGATGATAGCACTGTTGGGACATTGCCAATTACCTGGGCCTTTGTCTCATCGGGCAGGAGTGACTCCCTCCTGATGAGGCACAGGAAAGGAGAAGAATATCTGTGTCATTCAAAAGCACCAACTGAGACTCAGGGGCTGCACTTTTTGAAGCTAGTGACTTCCTTGGGCCTCCTTCTCTTCAAATTAAAGGACAAGATAGAAAAGTGATCCCACCACAACTGGGCAAAGAGAGAAACTTCAGCTACCTTACCCTAAAGGACAACTGGATGAGAGCTGCCCATTGGCAGTCAGCAGAGAAGATTGCCACTGGGCAACTGAATCAGGAGCAACATTTAAAGTCTGCACCATTTCAATATCATCATAAAGAAAGGGAACCAGCAACAACTTATGCAGACACAACAGAAATTGCCACACTGAGAACTTGACATAATGTCAAGGAAGCAGAAGGCAGGTTCAAAAATTGTGAAAACAACTGAACAGATCTCCTGCACCCCCCCCAAAAAAACCCCAACCAGATTAGAAGACAGACCACATAGATATCCCAGAAACAGGAGACAGAAGAAATACATCAAACTTTTCCATGAATAGCTTCTGAAGAAGCTGCAAAAGATGGAACAAAAGAGCAGAAGCCATGAATAATGAGATGCAAAAATTAAAGAAAAACCATCACAAGACAGAAAGGATACAATAAACATAGTGATAGAAAAAAACAGAAGTGCATGAAAATCTAATTCAGAATATGAAGAGCAAAATGGCAGAATTTTACAACACAGTTGAGAGGTGAAAAAGCACAACAGAGAAGATGGAGCAGAGAGTCAGTAATCTAGATGATGAGAACCTTAATGAGAACCTACTAGAAGGGAAAAAAAGAGAGAAGACAGAAATAAAATTAAGAAAACAAAAGAATCATGTGGGATAACATAAAATGGAACAATAGACATGCAATTGGAATTCAAGAACAGGAAGGGAGAGAGAAAAGTACTGAGAAAATGATGGAAGAGGTACTAGAAGACAAATTCCTAGGTATAAGGAAAAATGATGAAATTCAAGAAGCTCAGTGAACTCCAAATAGATCTCAAAATAAAAACATCAAGACACATCACAGTTAACATCTCCAAAACAAATATTAAAACAAATACTAAACAAATATTAAAACAAATATTAACAATTATTAGCAAATACTAAAATTAACAAAAATTAAAACAAATAGTAAAAGCAGCACAAGAAAAACAAAGAGTCATTAGCAAAGAAAAACCAATTAGATTTAACTTTGACTTTTCAGCACAAACCAGGAAAACAAGAAAAATGGAATGACAAGGAGGCTGGAAAAAAAAACACCAAAAACAAAAAACAATTGCCCCCTGTTAGAAAAAAGAGTTGAGGACAAGAGAATTAAAAAGAAGCTGGTCCCAAGACATGAACTGGCCTTTACTGCATGGTCTGAGAGGGATGCCAAATGTAAAGAAAAGGTCAAAATGTCATAAGGTCAGTCAAGGGAAGTATCTTTTTATAGGGGTTTTGGAGAGGACTAGGTAAGATGGTATTTTGCTTGGAATTTGGGGTTGTTAACTTGGGTATGGGATTTTGTGATTAGGCCAAGAGCCTTATCAGGACCCATTGTCTAGTTTGGTTTCTGCTTTGGCTGCCTTAGACATCATCAGATTTCTTCAAGGAGTAAGCAGCATGCCTGGGGCAACCACTATATTCTTCTGTCACCACCAAAGGATCCTGTACCAAGCAAAATTGTCCATCAAATGTAAAGGAGAAATTAGGTCATTTGCAGAAAAGCAGGAACTTAAAGAATTCACAAAAACAAGACCATGTCTACAAGATATACTAATGGAAGTCCTTCACAAAGTGATAACAAAGGAAAATGGATAAACCAAAGTAACTGGAAACAAAAGGAAAAGAAGCATAGCAAAATGGCAATGATGAAACAAGGACTGTCAATAACTGAATGTAATGTGAATGGCAGAAATGTACTAATCAAGAGAAAAAGAGTAGCAGAATGGATTTAAAAAAAAAAAACAACAAATCCCCAAACAAACAAAAACCTTAACAAATAACAAAACCCATCAATATATTGCCTACAAGATGCACATCTAAGAAATGAAGAAAAAGATAGATTAAAAATCAGTCGGTAGTGTATATATTTATATAACCCAAGCAAATGGAAACTACCAGAGTGGCAATACTAATCACTGATAAAATAGACTTTATCATAAAGGGTAAGAAAGGGCACAATGTATCAAGAAGATGTTGTTGTTGTTGTTGTGATGTGCAGTTCAGTTGCTTGTGACACATAGCGACCTTATGTACAACAACCCTAAACCCTGCTCTATCCTTGCCAACCTTATTGTCTCCGATTACCCCAGTGATGAAATCAATCTGTGTCATTGAGGGTCTTCCTCTCTCTCCTGTGCTGTCCCTCCATCCTCCCAAGCATGACTTCCTCTCCAAGGAGTGGTCCCTCCTTGCAACATGTCCAAAGTCTGTCTGATGAAACTTCAGAAAATTTGACTCCAAGAAGCAGCCTGGCTTCACTCTCCCTAGGATGAACTTGTTTGTTCTCCTAGCCGTTTGTGATATATTCAACACTCTTCTCCAGTACCAAAGCTCAAAAGCATCAACTCTCCTTCTACCATTCCTAACATCTACACACCAAATGATAGACCTGCAGAATACTTAAAGAAACACTAAAAAGATATGAAAAAAGAAATAGCAGCACAACAGCAGTAGAAAACTTTAACACATCACTCTCAACAAAGAACAGATCAATTCAAAAGAAATAAAATAAAGACACAGAAGAATTAAACTTTAAAATTAGCCAACTACACTTTGTAGACATCTTTACAGTACTAAACCCACATAACAATTTACTTTCTTCTTAATTGCACACAATACATTCTCCAGAAATGATCATATATTAGGACATAATCAAGCCTCAACAAATTAAAAAAACAAACAAAACACTACAGTAATACAAAGAATCTTCTCAGATTATAATGCCAATAAAACTAGACATTAACAAAAAGATGAAAGATTTTTAAAAAACCAAACATACCCACATGAAAGCTAAATAACACCCTTCTTGAACCTTATTGGATTATAAAAGAAATAAAAAGCAAAGTAAAAAAGTTCCTTGAAAGAAATGGAAATACAACATATCAAAACCTCTGAGAAACAGCTAAAGCAATCCTCTGGGTGTAGTTCATGGCAATAGGCAAACATTTAAAAAACCCCAAAAAACAATGGGACAGAAAATAGGAAAAAAAAGAAAAACTGATATCATCAACAAGACCAGGAGCCAATTCTTGGAAAGTGTCAGTAAAATAGATGAACCATTGGCAAACTTAAAAAAAGAAAAGAAAGAGAATATATAAAGAA